AGATGCCTCAAAACTCGGAATGTGGCGCCTAGCCGGACTTGGGTCAATTCGTGTGACGTTTGACCCTCGCCTGCGCCTAAAGCAATAACTGTGTGAATAAACGACTAATCAATGCAAGGAAAGCTTCAAGCAATATATTTGGATATCATAAGAACTTACAACTTTGCGCAGTAGTCCGGAATCGGCTCGATGATACACGGACGCTTTCGTCGACGGCATCCCACCAATATTTCAACCTTAAAATGGAAAGAACATTAAAGTTAAATCTTTGTAATGAATTAGCATGGCGTAATGAAATATGCATAAAGGAAAGCAATAATTTTAAAAATTTGCACCTTTGGGATTGCCGTCGTGATCGAGTCGCCATTCGCGTTCATCAAACACGGCGAAAATACGGTCCGTGCGTCGCATTCTCGCGATTGTGCCTGAACTTGACATATAAGAATGTAAAACGCATTTTTCGCTCTTCTGCTATATACTTCATACAAAAAAACATAAAGAAAAGATAGATAACATTTGCCAATTTGAAGATATGAATAACTATTTACCTCTTGTTGGAGTGAGGCTCTCTCCTGCGAGCTGGGAGCTGCGAGTGTTAGGTTGAGTCCACTCGGTCCAGCTCTGTCCTGCAAAAAGTATTCAATTAAGATCGCAAGTGCTAACAATTATGAGCACTTGTAATTGATCGATTCCATACAAATCAGTGCTTGAGTATTAATTTTATAATCGCATTTCAACAAAACGTACCCAGTCGTTATCGCTTGAATCCGGCAAGGGCGTGGCAGCTGCTAGCGCCCAAACTGAAATAAAAAGTTTGCATTTTTCCGTTTGGTAATATAATTTTAAAATATCCAAATAACTCAAATTTTTCCGGAGGCAAAAAACAATTACGTTAACAATAGAAACTCACTTCTTTCATCGAATTCTTCTGGTCCAGCCTTGCCGTTGGAGGAGCATTCATTTTGGCTCGCTCTTGTCGTCCACTGAAATTATTATCTTTTCATTTCGATATCAAATGTTGATGAAACACTTCGTAATACTTATCATTTATGTAGTTCACAAGTTTGAATTTTTTTGGTTTTTTATTATTATTTTCAAAAGTGGTAGAATTCAACTCACCGGCTCGCACTGCCCGGTCATGACAGGGGCAAAATAGTCCCCAACGCATACCATCTCGAGCAGTGCGCCGTCAACGCCAAACACAGAAGCTGTGTTTGGCCCAAAAACGGTCCTTGTGCGGCATTCCGCATCGTGCAAAATGACGCGCACGGATGCCGCATGGCACGCTGCCTCGAGGTGCATGCGGCAGTATGGACCAGTCCGGACGGAATCAACTGCAAATGAGAATGGATAAAATTACTATCACACTTAGAAAGATGTTTGAACTTAAAACAAAGAGATCAAAAAATCGCTGAAAAAAACCTACTATAAAAATTGAGGCCTCGCTCCGGATTGTCATGCATCCTAAGGGACTCCCAGCAATCCCTTAGGGTGTTGGTGGCCATCGTCCGGAGTGTCTCGGTATCGAGACCTAGCAAATCTGCGAGGGCATCAAATAATGTAATGCCCTCGCGCAGAACTGGGTTGACTCCCAGTCCTGCAGCCGAGCAGTAGGCTCGGATCTTTTCTAAAAACAACTGTTTATTAAACTTCGAGTTATTACAACATTGGAAGCTTTTAAAAACTCTCATCATCTTCTCTAACAATTTACCCCAAAACAGTCAGTCACACATAATCTAAAACTGAAATAATCATTAAATTCTTACCAACGATCACGCTGAAGACAGCGCATATAGTCATAGCTTCACAGAACATCGCAGCGTACAATCTGAAAATTCGTTCAATTGCAACAAAATAAAAGAATAACAAATTAATAAACTACAGTTGATATTATTATAAACAGAAATCCTACTACGTGACCAATCATCAAGCAATAATACAAAAGTTGTCCATATTAGAGCTGTTTTCCATATTCTT